GGTCAATTCAACTTTATAAAACCTGATTGATCAATTCAGCTTTACAAAATCTGATTGGTCAATTCAGCTTTACAATTCCTGTTGGTCAATTCAGCTTTACAAAACCTGATTAGTCAATTCAGCTTTACAAAACCTGATTAGTCAATTCAGCTTTACAAAACCTGATTGGTCAATTCAGCTTTACAAAACCTGATTGGTCAATTCAGCTTAACAAAACCTGATTGGTCAATTCAGCTTAACAAAACCTGATTGGTCAATTCAGCTTCACAAAACCTGATTGGTCAATTCAGCTTCACATAACCTGATTGGTCAATTCAGCTTCACAAAACCTGATTGGTCAATTCAGCTTTACAAAACCTGATTGGTCAATTCAGCTTCACAAAACCTTATTGGTCAATTCAGCTTTACAAAACCAGATTGGTCAATTCAGCTTTACAAAACCTGATTGGTTAATTCAGCTTCACAAATCCTAATTGGTTAATTCAGCTTAACAAAACCTGATTGGTCAATTCAGCTTTACAAAACCAGATTGGTCTATTCAGCTTTACAAATCCTGATTGGTTAATTCAGCTTAACCAATCAGGATTTGTGAATTCAGATTAACAAAACCTGATTGGTCAATTTAGTTTTACAAAACCAAACTTGATGTAATCTAAACTTGCATTAAATATTGTCTTCCAGTCATGTTGATTACAGACTGATTATTTCAAACTTGGAGATAAGCACAACTATATAATGTGTCAAAATGAACAAAAGATTGACAGGGGACAGCTAAGATGCTATGACAATACTGCACTCTGTGTATCTCACACAAGATATGCAAAGTTCGTAACAAACTGATGAAAACAACCATAATATAGTCTATGTTATTCACAAGAGAAGTGGCAAATCGGTCAAAGCAATCTCCTTAGACGGATGACTTCCATAACGTGACTTTTCTACTAAATCTACAATTTGTAATGAACATCTTTTTTTTTTAACAGATTCGTCATAAGAATTACCTTTTTCTGTGATATTCTCATGGTATTTGTATCCAAATGGCATCCAATAAGGCAATAATCTTTCATATTCAGATGTATTCAATTTATTCTTGTTTGTCAGTAAATTTATATCAGGTCTGTATTTCTCCCGAAACCAATCAGACTCAATCACCTTTCTCTGCAATGAGGTAGGACATGACTATAAAAAAAGAAAGCACATATTGTCAATTTCAATATTTTCACTGGATGTAATCTTGTATTGTTCCTCAGCACAGGTTGAAAAGTCAAAAATGATGGCCTATACAAAGAAAACGTTCATGAATGCTTAGTTAAGAAACAAAAAATCATTGTATATTGGTAGATTTATTATTATAGTCATAACCATTCATTTTGGTAAGTCAATTCTGAAATGACTACCATTGTGAGCACATCCAAATATGATTCTCAGACAATGAATTTTGCCTGTTATTCTGTAACTTGTATTTGCATTTTTTTATAATCATAAATGTAAACTAAAATGTACACCATCCTGGTTACTATACTGAGCAAGGACTGGAAATTTGTATATTCTTAGTGAGTTTGGCAATCCCTCGGTCTGTACTAATTATTGGTCTCTCACAGACATGATTGCAACTGGATTTTGCTGATAACAGGTTGTTTGAATTAGAATATGAATAATTTCAAAGTGTTATTACTTGTTATAAAATGCACAAAACAATTTTGAACACAATTCTAATGATGCATTTTGCACCAGAATTACCAAATCGCTTGCTGATGCTAATTTTTTTTCACATTTATTTTAGCTATCCATGGTGAGGTTAAGTGTATTGAATGAGCTACACCAAAGCAATTACATGTACATGTCAAGTACAATACAAATTAAATTAAAGATATGTATGCAATAAAAGAGGTGAAGCACTGTTATTGGCAATGATATCTGACATGAATATTAGAAACCTTTATTTATTGTTGATATTTAAATTTGTACATGTGTTCATTTCATTTCAATTGTTACACATATAAATATCTAAGAGTATTGTAAAAAATAGAATTTGAAATAGGTATAGGTATATATAACAATAAGTATGGTGCTGTTAATAAATTCAAACCATATGAAGCTGTGTTTCAAGCCAATACTTATTCATTAAGTAGATTAATTATCAAACTCATTTATCAAGACTGTGATTCTATTCATATTTATTTGTAACACTGAAAACTAGAATTCAGCTTTGATTATGTTTAAATGTATTAAAAATAAAAGTTATTTGGCAGCCATCATCATCAACTTACTGAATGCTGAAAGTTAGGGTTGACTCGAAAATTGAATTCTTCTTTTTCCTCACTGAAGGACACAAGTCCATCTTTGAGTAAGCCAGCAGTGAAGGGAATTTTCACATCAGATACAGACACTGGTACTTCTTTAACGATGTACTTGGATTCTGCCATATGAGTCTCACATGGTGATTCAGGACTGTCAAGTGAAGAAGAACACTAATCAGAGAAAATTATAGTGGTTTTAACACAACAAAACCTTGCCTGCCATACAGCTGCATAGCAAAAGAAAACACAGTGAAAGATACAACAATGCATTATAAGTGAAATTCGCTGCCATACTTGATAAATTTCTATTTTTATTACAAATATTCACAGCAAAACAGTCTCACACACCATTGCAAGTGCATAGATATATAAGCGAAGGTCTGATTCCTATAGCTTGCCTGGATTTCAGATCACATTGTACCCACCCTACAAACTATGTTCATTATATTATTTTGCTTCTAAGTTTCATGAGAAACAATATTTTTTTGGTGTGCTCAAAAAAAATCATTGCATTCACCTTCAAATTCAAGATGGCGTCCAATATGGTTACTGAATGGTAAATGTACACATATCTGGCTAAATACATATGATAGAATGTTAGTTTAAATGGCTGTACGCATGTTTATTGACTAAATAATCCACATATTTGCATTCCAAGTAGATATCAATAGTTGATAGCAATATGTCCATGCTAATTGAGTCCACACTCACATTTTAGTGAATTGTTCGTCTCGTAGACCTGACAACTTTTTTTTAGTAATTATAGAAGTACCAATTAGCCATTCTTCAACAATCAGTAGTCAAGAAAAATATACTGACAAAATCGATGGAATCGGAACATCATAAACCCCCATAAGGGAGTCAGACCAAGTGCACGTGAAAGGTAAGCATCTGCTGCGGGCATGTCGAACCCGCCGTGATGTTCCAGTCATGTAAGCGAAAAATGTCAAAACAAGTTTACTAGACAAACAACCACACCAAACCACAAGGACAAACAGTTGTCTTGTATGATATTGGATAGTGAATCTGTTTTAATGATACATGTATAATATTGCTCACTTCAAATTGACAAATATATACCAAATTGTGTACAAACAATTGCGCAATGAGCAGTTCATAACTATATGCCGGGCTATGTTTTTCATAGCTGTGTGGACCCTATACATAGGGTATTATATACTGTTTATTTATAAACTGCTAAATTTATTTGCAGATAGAAAAAACAATTTGCAATTGAAAGTTTGAGTGACTTTTATTTTGAAATGCAGAATATAAAATATACAATGGGCAATTAAAGCTATCATTACTGGTTACGAATATTTATAATTGTGTGCGGCACACACACACTAACATATCAAAGTAACACACACGTTTTAGTATTTAGATCTGAATAGTAACTACCAGTATATGATAATCGGAAATCGTTTAAGAACATTTTTAAGCGAAACGAAACTTTTACTAATTAAAGTCCATATATTTTCGGCAAATGTTTCATCTAGTTACGACACGACTGAAAGGTGAATTTACTGGTCAAGTTTCGAACGACAGTTGTAAATATTGAACGTGTGAGATCCTTGTTTTTTTATTATCTGTAATCAGCGAAATGAACCATTTACTGATAAATATAGTTATTTTCTGCAAATGTCATACTAGTATACACACATTACTGAAAAGTGAATATACAGTTCAAGTTTCGACCGATAGTTGTAAATATTGTACGTGTAAGACCCTTGTTTCGCTGATTAGGTATTTTTAATTATCTGTAATTAGCGAAACGAATCATTTACATATTAAATATTGTTATTTTCGACAAATATATTGTAAATATTGTATATATAAAACCCATTGCTACTGATTACAGTTTAATTTTCATTATGTGTGTTATCCCCTCTTCGTTTCGTTTCTTCGATTACAGTAAGCCAAAATGTGCCAATGACACGTTAAATCTCAAAGGGCCTTTTAAAACTGTTTGTCCACTTTTTGGTATGCATTGCTAATTACGACGACAAAGCTGCCTTTTGCTGATCACAGTCTTTTGAGGAACTGTGTGCTGAATGAGTTCGATTTTCTCGTTCAGGATTCTTTATTGATATTTCTTGATAGGTGCCAATCAGTCAATGTACATATGCTGTACATCTCGTGGGAACCTGTCTAATTATCAACCTCGGCACAATTCCTGCCAAGTCACCAAATGTGGAATTGCTATTTACTTTCAGCTGCTGAATAAGTGTCATGGTATGAACAAATGGATCATCAGTTGTATACATAAAACGTGGTTTGCACCAAATATTGGTGAATATCTTACAGTTTGATAAGAAACAATACTTTTATCATCATGGAGTGTTAGTTCGTGAACTTTTTCTTTCACAAAAACATATATTTATCCACTTTCACAAATATTCTATCACAAATGGAACCAGCTATATTAGGTTGTACAGGCTTGGTCGCCATCTTGGACGCCATCTTGGATTTGAAGGTCACCGCAATAACTGTTTTCTAGCACACCAAAAAATTATGGTATCTCATATCATAGAGATGCAAATAAACACAGTGAACTTAGTTTTTAGGCCGGGTACAATGGGAGTGCCTATTATGTGGGATCAGACCTCGCTTAATATGTAAATAGCAGTTTTTATGATCAGTTTATTCTGACAACCATTGTAATTTCTGACACAAAACTCATTATAACACAATTGTTATAAGAGTTATAAGTCTCTCTCTACACATGATGTCCCTTGCATATACAGCATCTCTTTACAAGATTAGGTTAGCTTTGGTTTAATTTACATGTACATATGTACATGCAGTATTGGTACATGTATTAATATCAATTGAAAACTGTAAACTGATTCAACCTTGCAAAAAAAAAATTAATTTGATATCCAAAAGCATTTTTGAGGATGAGATTCACTGTGACTTAAAGAGGTTTGAAGAAGTTATGTCATGTTTGTAATACTATCATAATTATAAGTTCATACCATCAGAATACAGAAAATAAAATAAAAATTATCATAGAAAATGGTTTTAAAATTGTCATTTTTACACAAGTAAGTTATTTATTTATCTCAAAATTTTGCATGAAAAAGTTGTATATTATTATTAATATGAAATCGTACATTGATAAATCATATCAAAAAATTGATAAAATTTTAAATTAATAATTTAGTTTTGCTCAGTAGTGCAAAATTTGAATGTCGCTTAAGTTGCCTTAATGACCTTGAACGAAATGCTCACCACAAAAAAAATTTTGTACATTTATCTTAAATTGAAGTGGTAATACAGTATTCAGTCTTTTTCATTATGCTTATGATAATCTGCAATATAAGAAGACCTACCAACTGCACCTTGTATCTTCCTTCTTTGTGAAAGTTACTATAGATGTCGGGAAGATGGCAAAGTTAAAGATAGCCAGACATATGACAAGCAATACTGCTACAAAACTTAACCGACGGGTTATAAGGTTCATCGCCTGTGTAGACACAAAAATATAATACATTGTATTCATTAAATCCCAATGCAACTTGCGATATAAAATGGATCAAAGGGGAACACAGTATTTAAGGTACAGATGCACCAAGTGAGTGTGAATATCCACAATGGCTGTACACTTTGGGTTTCCTTGAGTGAGTTGTGTGTGACCCAGATGTTGTTCACCAATTGAGTCTGTACTAAATAATTAAAGAACGGTGATTGATGCATCTTGTCCTGTTCAATATGGGTCTCATGTGATGTGTACACTGTAATTTACTTCATGATAAATTATTACTTAGTGTGTGTATCAACATGCAATATCAAACAGAGATAAACAAAATACACTTTGCTTTTCAGAAATATTTTGAAGAGTCAAATCAAATTCCTAATTTCCGAGTTACTATTTTTCGCACGAAATTCGATAGAGGGCGTTCTCAAAGTACCCGGATGACAGTCCGTTCAACGTTCGTGGTGGGGTTGAAATTTAAGCAGCCTCTGCTGTAAGCAATATACTAGTAGTTACTGTTGCCGAATTGGTCAAGAATTGGTCAAAATTGTTAACTGGTATTGTAATGCCCCAGGCCATTCCCGGGGTTCGATTAAAAACAAAATTAAAATCAAAATTAAAAAAAAAAACAGCGAAATATCCTGAGATGAAAGGCGTAACTTTTCATACATTTCTTTCGTCCAAGAAATCAATACTTCAACGCCAGTGAATTCGAATGCGTCGTCGGGAACCTGAGTGGACGCCAAGCTATATTCCCGGGTTTGTTCACGGCATTTTCCATCCTGCGCCAGTATTTTTTAGTTCAATAACTGGAGACAGCCATCTTTCAACCCCAGTTATACATCGATTGAAAAACGAAGACTCTGTCAGCTTTCCGAGACGAGCGCAAACGGAAACATTG